GAGATCAAAAGGCGGGAATCGCGACAGGAGGGTCGCCGCCTCGTACGAGATGGTGCGGTACCCCCTCACGACCCGGATAGCCAGCCGACGCTGAACTCGACGTAGCGAGTCCAGACTGCGACGACTGGCCACCAGGTCGGCGCTCCAAACCGGCGCCCCATACAGCGCCATGGACCGCACCACCCCCAAATAGAGGCGACGCACACTTTCCCTTGGCCCCCCGAGGTTAGGCAAAATGCCGCAAAGGGCATTTGCCGTTGCCAGCAGTCGGGGGGCCAGGCGGTCGAAGTGCTCATCGAAACACCAACGGCCGTCGAGGGTGAGCCCTAGGTACTTAATGTACTGGCTCACCCTGACATAGGAGTCTCCAACGCGGATCCACGACGGGGGCGGCTGAGACCGACGTGGGAGGCCATGGAAAAACATGGCCTCTGTCTTGGCCTCAGACACGCTCAAACCCAGTGCGTGAATCCGCGCGACGACAGTAGCCACCGCTACTTCGGCGAGCCGAATGGTCCTCCCGAAGTCCTCCTCCACGGCGAGTATGAAAATGTCATCGGCGTAACAGATGACATACACGCCGTGGGGAAGATCAGCCCGGAGAACTGCATCGTATGCGAGGTTCCACAAAAGGGGGCCCAACACCGACCCCTGCGGAACCCCGCAGTCCACTACCCGGTGGTGCAGCTCTCCGTACCGGCCCACAAAGTGTATCCTCCTGTCGCTAAGGTACGACCCGATCACCTCCCGAAGATACGGGGGCACCCGATGGGCAACGAGCGCCTCCCGTATCTTCTCCCAGGGCACGGTGTTAAATGCATTGGTGACGTCAAGTGAGACGCCCAATGCCACCTTGCCCTGGGAAACGGCCTGCTCCGACAGGGACCGAACGCGTAAAATGGCGTCCATCGTCGATCGTCCCTGCCGGAAGCCGTATTGGCAATCCGCCAAGTCCGGGCCGTCCCGCGACAGGTGCTGAACGAGACGAGCAGCGAGCACCCGCTCGAAGAGCTTGCCCGTCTCGTCCAGCAAACAAATGGGCCGGTATGCGGACGGTGAGTCCGCAGGCCTACCCTCCTTCTTCAGGAGGACCATTCGCGCCTCTTTCCAGCTGGTGGGGAACGTGCTATGGCGGAGGCAGGTGTTAAACATCTGCCTCAGTCCGTCCCCCAGAGTGGCCACTGCCAGGGCCAGAGCACGGCCTGGGATGCCGTCTGGCCCCGGCGCCGTGCCGCGCTTCATTCGCGACACAGCCCGCTCCAACTCCTCTCCTGTCACCTCCAGCCCCGTGGACCAATTAACAGGGGCCACGCGATGGGCTGGAGGTGGAGGATCCCCAAGGACCCGGGGGAAGAGACAGTCTACGAC